TCGGTATGTGGGTCCATACAAGGTGTTGCAAAGAAGTGTGGTCCCGCTGCTTATCGCTCCAACTCCTCAAATTCTCTCGCGATTTCACAATGTATTTCACGTCTCGCAATCAAGAAATGCCTACGAGTTCTGAAGAATCTATAGAAATAGAAGGACTTCCGCTTCAACCTGATCTGTCTTATGTGGAGCATCCTATAAAAATTTTGGATGAGAAGGAGAGAGTGACCAGGAACAGGGTGATAAAGTTTTACAAGGTACAATGGCAAAATCATTCTAAGGCTGAAGCCACGTGGGAACAAGAGAGTTACCTATTGAAGCATTACCCCCATCTCCTCTCTGGTTCTGATAGTTAGTTGCTGCATCGAAATGTATTTCCTACCTTCTTCTCACACTAGGCACATGAAATCTCGGGTCGAGATTTTGTTTTGGGGGGTAGATTTGTAACACCCTCGGTGTTACGCTTTAATCAAAATACTAAACCATGTCATGAGCATCATGTTTATGTATTATTGCATGTGGTAAATGAGAAATTAAATTTTATTGCACTAATTCTCAAATTGAGCTCTAATTTAATCCTTGTCCAAGTTATCCTTCCAGCACGTCATCTCTCTTCACGTGAGAGGTCCATAGCCACAAAGTCAAATGATAAATTATTGTCATTCACTAATTATTAGCATACCACTTGGCAAGATTTATATCTCCATCAATCTCGCGACGCCGCCCAATCGCCATCTATCGTTGTTCTAATTACCCCTTTTGTTTCGCTTGCTAATCACCTTACAAAATTATCAATTGCCTGCACGACGCGCTACCACCGCCATAGTGTGTCGCACACGCTACGCATTTATATCACTCACAAGCTCAGCCCCACCGAGCACTCCGCTTGCTCGCAGCTCGGATGCTTTGCAAATGAAGGACATACAAATTTTCCACACGGTAGGCTCAGCAGCAGAAACACCGTCACGCAGAAATTATCGCCCACCCGTAGAAAGTACTGTTCACTCGTGGAAATCGATGGGCACCCCTTCTACACGGATTATCAGTAGCAAGACGGAACATCGCTCACGGCAGAAACACGGTTCTGATGGTTTCAACTTTTCCACACGCCGCATCGTAGCACGAATGCACTCGCTCACATTCCAGCAGCAAAACACGCTTCATCGAGCCGCACACGTAGGAAACACTGTAGCGCCGCAGAAACACTGTTCATCCGAGAAAATACACCAGCCACAGCAGCTGCTTTTGACGTGTGGTCTCCTCCATTGATTTTTTTTGACCGCTCGTTGCCTCTGCATGCCCCAACGAACGCCGTTTTTTTAGTATGCATGTCGATAATCTTTGATGATCCAAGGAAATGAACTTTATTATAATGAATAGGATAAACATAAATATCTATGAGTATTGTTAGAATATAAATAAATTATTAGAGAGCATAGTATAAAAATAATTCGATGTGGGTTCAATGTTTATCCACGAATGAACTTGTAAGCACTTGTCCTTCTAATTACTATCATGTAGTAATTCGCACAAAGTCAGCCATTGCTTTTGCTTCGAAAGTTGCCACCACCGCCAAGCACGTTTAGCCCAAAGCCCACTCCAATCCGACATGCTCGTAAGTCCAAGACCACTCAAAGTTCAATCCTTGAATTAATTCTCTCATGACCAAAACCTCACCACCAAGACACACCACGCGAGCAAGAGGACAACCCCGCCAACTCGTTTCATGCTTCCCGACTACTCATGACCACCCACGATCGATCGCTATATATGGCTCTACTCCACTCCACGTAGGGCGGGCATTTGCTAAGCTCCCCGGTGTCTCTCCTCTTGCATTGCCTCCGCACATCGATCACACGTAGGTGGCACTTCATTCAATTCTAAGGTAGCTAGCATGTAAGAATTCCTTCATTCTTCTTCTTATTTTCTTGACTCATGGTCTCATCTAGTAATTCTAGACCCACAAATGTGCAAGTCAAACAAGTTCAATTATGTGATTAGCCTCCTCCAATAATATCATTTTCTTCATCTCTAGAGCTCATTTGAATTTATTTATTGATTGTGAAATAAATTTTGTTAGATTCCTAAATTCATGACCTACCAAGTAGTGTAATTAGTTCGTATAGTTCAAAGGATACCTTTAGGATTACTTTATTATTTTGAAATGCTCGTTATGGTTATTTAGAGAATAAATTTTATGATGCATGGTAGCTAGTGCACCTTGTTTTATTATATATATAGTAAATTGATATTAACAATAAGGATGCCTTTAGTTGCTAAGATAATACATGAAATGTTTCATACTTGTTTAGTGGGAATAATAGGTAACTTTATGTATTAGTCATTAGAGTTAGCTTAGTAGCTTGGTAGATGTATTCTTATTTTAAGAGTTGCGGTTGCCTATATATTAATTATTGCATCATCATCATTGCATGCATATAGAGGACGAAACCATCGGAGATCGTGACATTCGGCGAAAGGTGAGTACGACGAAGTCATCGAGAGTACGAGGAGATCCTCGTGCGAGGAGGACGTTCCGAGCCACCCGTCATCGACTTTTTTGACACCACTACCGCCCAAGGCAAGCCCCGTGCATAACCCTATTTTTAAATGATCACTTTGAATATATTTATATGATATGCATTTACGTTACTGGGCATTTTATGGAAGCTACATGCATAAATATATATCCACCATGAGTCCTACTAGTGCAATTCGAGTAGTCATATGCTCGGGGATGTCAGAAGCGTGAGTAACTTTGTCGTTACTCGCAAATAGGTGTTTAAACTGTGATATCATGATGAAATAATGGAAAGGAAAATGGTGACCGGACAGGGATGTGGATTTGGTATCTTGGTGGGTGTGAGGGGTTGTGTCCTGCGCCAACAGGGGCATAGCCCGTTACACTTTTTCCCCGCCTGTGTCGATTAAGGACCGGTCATTGCATATGACTCTAGGCAAGTCACAGATTATTGTCCCGAGCACATACTTGGGTATGGGCGCAGGGAAGGCTTGTTCTCTTTGTCGCGGATCCGCTCTTTTTCCGGACCGGTGATGGGAAGAGGAGGTGGTGGAGGTCCTTGCACTGACCGAGTCCGGGACTCGGGATGTGGGGCTTGAGTCCAAGTTTGACGGGGACCTCGACACCCGGGACAGAGAGTGGTGGGTTAGTCCTGCTTGTGCTCGGGGTACAAGCGGGCGTGTGTCTTCGGGCACCCAAATTGGGCACATTGATTCGCGAATCGCCGGGTTATCCTAAGACGGCTTGTCTGCGGTTTAGCAATCGTAGTAAGAACTGAAAGTTGAAAGGAGAAGAAATGGAACCGATTGCTCAACTCTTGCTTGAAAGTAGAACAGCTTTATATAGATTGATTAGATGAAAACTTAATACGGTGATGATAATAATGTATCAATAAGGACTCACTATTAGTATTGCTTTTTGCTAAAAGAGAACCAAAGAAACCATAAAGCCTAGCATATTCCTTGGAGTCGGGAAAGTATTCCCACCGTCGGATAAGTCTTATGAGTACATTGTGTACTCGGGGTTTATTTACCTCGCAGGCAGTGGCGCTTGAGGAGTTCCTTGTGTGGAGGATCCATCTGGTGGGCTCTGCATTTTAATCCTCGTTATCTTATCGCTAGATGTTATCTTTTAATATTCCATTGCTTATCATTCCGTACTCTATATTTGGTATTGTAATAATGTACTTTTCAAGAAACTCTAATGTATGAGATAGACTTGTGTTGTAACTCGTTTTCATTATTGGATCCTTGGGAAAAATGTGGATCTTTCGGGTTCTCCCTTGGGGTGTGCTCGACGGACACCGCTCGCTGTAGTTACTTTCGAGGTGCTTAGTGTCTGATGGAAGACAAGCGCCTTCGTAAGTACACTATTTCGGGTGGTTCTGCCACAGTAAACAACGATTTCTATACCATGTTTCTTCGGGGGACGGATTTTAAAGGCTAGAAGTTCTTTCTCTGTGGCACAGAGACAGTACTCGCTGAGCTTCGCAAAGTTAAGGTTTGTCCTACAAAAGAATCTAACATTGCTCAGCACTGTATAAATACGATTTGACACTGTTCATATCTCCTTTTGAGGAGGTGCAGTATATGAAAACGTTACGTGATGTTCGTCGTTCGGTTTCGGTCGAGGCCGCGTTTAGTTCCCTCCGATTACAGAATTTGACACTATGCAAAAAGAAGATTCTCTTACATCAAATTTGTGGTATATATATAGAGTACTAAATGTTGACGAAATCAAAAACTAATTGCACAGTTTGGTTGTACTTTGCGAGACGAACGTTTTGAGCCTAATTAGTCAACAATTAGATAATTATTACTAAATAAAAACAAAACGACACTGTAGCTACAGTGCCGCTGCAGTGTTCCTGCCGGCGCCAATTCGGCGGAACTAAACGAGGCCCAACTGCCCAAGAGGGACGTAGCACTAGGTCCGGCACGGAACGGAACGTTTTGCTTGGGCCGGAGTAGAATCTGCTTTCTTGCACGGAAAAGCCAGCGACGTGCCCCACCCTTTCCTTTCCTCGGCTGCCCCTCGCCCTCCACGTAACCCCTTGGCAGCCCCCACCGAGGGTCCCACGCGTGACCCGGTGGTCCAAACGCTCCGATCCCTCCCCCCGTGCACGCACCGCACGCAACGCCCGAGTCGCTGCGGCCCGGGTCCGCTCCAACGCGCCGCGCGCACGGGCGCCGTGGTCCATGCGCCGAGCGCAGGATATTTTCACTCCCCGCGCCGCGAGAACCCAGGCGAGCGCATCGGGCGCGCCCACGCCACGCGCCACCGGTGATCTCGCCCGTCCACGTCGTCGCGGGGGCGCAACCTTCCAGCCGCTCGCGCCGGATCCGACGGCCGCCGCCGTCTCGTCTCCTTCCTCGGCTTGGGCCTATTAAACCCCACTCGACCCCACGCGTCGCCGGCCTCGTTTCTTCTCCGTCGCTTTGCGACTCTGCGAGTGAGGGCTGACGGACGGACGGACGGATACATGAAGGAGACAAGCGCCACCAGGAATGAGGGCGGCCCCGCCGTGTGCAAGGCTGTGGCGGGCGGGGGTGGCGATGTGGACGGGAAGGGCAGCGCCTCCGCGCGCCGCCGCCGCCGCCTCGAGCTCTGCCGGCTCGGGCGGGCCGCGGAGGGGTCACCCGTGCCGGCGAAGAGGATCCGGTCTGGTTCGGACAGATCGTTGTCCGCCGACTCGTCGCTGGAGACGACGGCGGCGGGGTGCTGGCCGTCGCGCCTGTCGCACGGCGCCGTGTCGGTGATCGGTCGGCGGAGGGAGATGGAGGACGCGTTCGCCGTCGCTCTCTCGTTCCTGGCCTCGGACCCGTCGTCGGCGGGCGCCAAGGACGGCTCCGAGGGAGAGCAGGAGCAGGAGCAGGACTTCTTCGCGGTGTACGACGGCCACGGCGGCGCGCGGGTGGCGGAGGCGTGCCGGGAGCGGATGCACGTGGTGCTGGCGGAGGAGGTCGGCCTGCGCCGCGGCGTCGGCAGCGACCTGCCCTGGGAGGAGGCCATGGCGGCCAGCTTCGCCCGGGTGGACGGCGAGGTCACCGGCGGCTTCGCGCCCCCGCCCAAGCCGCCGCCGCAGCCGGCCGCCGCGGACGACGACGCCGGCGCAGGCAACCTGCCCTACCGCACCGTCGGATCCACCGCCGTGGTCGCCGTCGTGGGCCAGCGCCGCATCGTCGTCGCCAACTGCGGCGACTCACGCGCCGTCCTCTCCCGCGGCGGCGTCGCCGTGCCGCTCTCCACCGATCACAAGGTAACGTACTACGTGGCACGTACGGGTGGCCTACTAATGCATAAATTAACAGGGCTGGTGATGCTCCCAAATGTTAATCAACGACTAATTCCTAGGATTTATTGTTTAATCCGCAAGATGATCTGCGCGTGAGAAGCGTCATTCATCAGATCTAATTTTCTAACCCCACCAATACAGGTTAGTTGCACTAATTTAGGTTGTGTTTCGCGAAATGAAAATATTTGGATATCACATTGGATGTTTGGGACGTCGGAAGAGGTTTTTGATACTAATAAAAAAACTAATTACATAACTCATCTAGAAACTGGGGGCGAATTTATTAAGTCTAATTAATCTATCATTAGCACATGTTAGTTAGTGTAGCACTTGTGGCTAATCATAGACTAATTAGTCTTAAAACATTCGTCTCGTGATTTTTAACTAAACTATGTAATTAGTTTTTTTTTATATTTAATACTTGTATCGTAAAATTATCGTAAAATTAGATACGATAGTTTGTTTGGGGTGAAATTTTTTTGAACTGAAGCAGGCCTTACTCTCCCGAATGTTCCTGCACGGCCCAACAGCACAACACGAGAAGGCGACGATTTTCCTCGTCTGCTCCTCGCTCGAGTGGTGGTACCATAGCTGGCCGCCTGGCCGGCTTGTGTCGGTCAGTGTCGCTTTGCTTCAGAAAACGGGATGGTCCGTGGGCGAATCTCCGAGCTCGCTGCCGGCCCGAGTTGGTAGCGGTTGTTGGGTGGTACCGTTCCTTGCTCGCGAGATGGGACGCCACGTAATGGATCTCTCTGGGGAAGAAAGCAAGCTGTCTAGTGCAGTGTGGTGCCGTACTGTGCTAGGTTCCGTCGCCTTGCTCCCCACAGAAACGTTTCTGACTGTTTTGGAATGCTGCAGGTCCATCTCCGTGGTCGGTGTTGTTCTGGCAAGTAGTGGTTTGAGCAGTGCGTGCCAACTATTTCGGTCTGGTTTAGATTACAAATTTTTGCAACCTAAACACTGTAGCACGTTTCGTTTGTATTTGATAAACTTTGTCGATCATGGACTAACTAGGCTTCAAAAGATCTATCTCGCGATTTACAACAAACTGTGTAATTAGTTATTTTTTTACCTACATTTAATGCTCCACGCATGTGTCCAAAAATTAATGTAATGGAAAGAGAGAAAAAAACTTGAAATTTAGAGGTGATCTAAACAAGGCCCTAGTCTTGGTTTGCATTGCATCAGTAATAGGAGTACATTCAAGTGTATTGCAGTTGGCCAGTTGCAGGGGCATCGAGACGTGGTTAGATGGAAGCCGGGAAGAGATTGCTTCATACGCTACCGAAAGATTCATTACTGTTATTTTTGCACCAGCTATAAGTTGTAGCGATGGAACAGATGAGATTACTACGAATGTTCGTTTTCTAGTTGTGAACGATTAGCTGGCAGATGAGATTAGTACGAATGCTGTGTGTTCGGCTGGTAGATATTTCTACTGTAGCTCCGCTGATTTTAGACGATTGAATAGTATCAGCTCCGCTGATTTTAGACGATTGAATAGTATCCTGTGAGAGAGAATAAGCTGAAACAAGCTGAAACAAGTCGGGAAGGGAACAGCTTTGTGTTCAGATTTGTAGCATAGCATCTTCTTAAAAACGGGTAGAGAATTCTAGGACAAGATCTGTGTGTACCAACATAACTTACGCTTACGCATGAGCACTGCTCAACCCGAGTGGTCTAATGAATGATTGCTTGTTCTTAGGCCCCGTTTAGTTGCCAGCCGAATTGGCGCCGCCTGAATTCTGGCGCTACTGTAGTGTACTGTAGATTTTCGTTTGTATTTGATAATAATTGTCCACTCGTTGACTAATTAGGCTCAAAACGTTCGTCTCGCACCAAACTGTGCAATTAGTTTTTTATTTCGTCAACATTTAGTACTTCATGTACCTCAAGTTTGATGTGACGGAGAATCTTCTTTTTGCATAGTGCCAAAATTTGGATTCTGAGGTAACTAAACAAGGGCTTAGGCCCTGTTTAGATCTAAAAAATTTTGGATTTTGTCTACTGTAGCACTTTCGTTTGTATTTGACAATTAGTGTGTAATTATGGACTAATTAGGTTCAAAAGTTTCGTCTCACGATTTCTCACCCAACTGTGCAATTAGTTTTTTTCGTCTACATTTAATACTTCATATATGTGCCGCAAGATTCGATATGATGGATACTGCGTAAAAAAAAAAATTTAAATCTAAACGGGGCCTTATTACGCAGCCGGATCGTCCGGACGAGATGCAGAGGGTGGAAGCAGCTGGCGGCAGAGTCATCGACTGGAACGGCTATCGCGTCCTAGGAGTCCTGGCAACTTCTAGGTCCATTGGTAAGAACACCTTCCATTTTCCTGGGACGAGATGCAGATGCTCAATGCAACCAGCAGTCTCCTGATCGATTTTGTGCCTCGGTCCATATTTCAGGCGACTACTACCTGAAGCCTTACGTGAGCGCGGAGCCCGAGGTGACGGTGGTGGACCGGACGGAGCAGGACGAGTTCCTCATACTGGCAAGCGACGGGCTGTGGGACGTGGTCTCCAACGAGGTGGCGTGCAAGATCGCCAGGAACTGCCTCAGCGGGCGGGCGGCCTCCAAGTTCCCCGAGTCCGTCACCGGCCGCACCGCCGCAGACGCTGCCGCACTGCTGACGGAGCTGGCCATGTCCCGCGGCAGCAGGGACAACATCAGCGTCGTCGTGGTCGAGCTGCAGCGGCTCAAGACGAACTCAAGATGGTCTAGTTTGCTGAGACTGAACTAAGTAGTAGATGATAACATTTAAATATTTGAGCGTGTGCTGAGAGGTTGGGGATTAACCCTGTTCGCTCGAACTTATCAACTAGGTTATCAGCCATGTACAATGTTTTTCTCTTGTAACAAATAAGCGAACAGTACTTTTCAGCATCGCTTTTGAGCGAAGAGTCACCCGCTATCAGGGTTCGAATTGAACGGCATGTTGATGCAGTGTGTACATAGGGAGTGTTGTCGAATGTTTGTTTGTCTCGGTGTCCTAATTAGTAGCAATATGCAATTTATATTCTCTTGGTTTCTTCACATTGTTTGTGTTATCAGGTTGTATTGCCTTGGTGACTCTTTTTTTATACATATAGGGAATATTCCGGCATCTGTGATGTACACCGCCCAAGTTCTTACAAAGTTTTCAGCTTATCTGCTGATTAGTAAGAGAACACAAAAATACATGGAAAAAAAACAAATTCTATTATTGTTTGTCCATTCATTCTTGGCAACAATATCTAAAGCAGCGACCTCCAAAGTTTTGCTCGCCGATCGAATGCTCTCACTTATATCCTCACGCGTTATTACAAGATCAATGTTAAATGTTCAGACAATCACTTATGTCCCTCTTATCTGCCTATGGTGAACTGCTCGAAGATGATTAGAGCTTCATGTTGTGAACAGCCGGTGCTCACGATGACATTTTCAAAGATTCAACAAAGGTTCCACGATGCTGCTCAAAGATGGTCATAGCTTCATGTTACGAACAGCCAGTGCTCACGATGACATTTTCAAGGATTCAACAAAGGTTCCACGATGCTGCTAAAAAAGGGTCAGAGCTTCATGTTGTGAACAATCGGTGCTCATCATGAGAAACTCCATGTCCAAGTCAGGTAGCTCGAAGATGGTCATAGCTTCAACCTGATGCACATCTCGTTGTGTACACCATGAGGGCATATGCCCTCAGGGGCTGCAAAGTAAAGTTTGCCCTTAGCGCATGTGACCTCCGGATTTGGACCACTATATTTGCATCAAGATGCATGCACATCAGGAGAGTGACATTCTCGCGTTCAATACCAAACATAAACACACTACAAAACAAACACGATTCTAAAAGCACCATGTATAACTAAAAAATTGCTAAAGCAAGGGGGGATCGTTATGCTCTAGTCCAAAAACACACATGCACAACATACATCTCAACATTAAAAGTTTCATCAGCGAACATAATTAGCCTGTTTTAAGTTACTACCTCTAGTGAACTGCAGAACAATCATGGGGTCTTTGGTCAGAACCATCCGCCGCCTCCCAACCCCCATCCACTGTCGTAGGCTTCCCAATACGGCCGTGGCGGCAGCACCTGCTGCTGCTGGTAGGCGCCCTCCAAGACCCATCTGTTGCCGCCACCTAGGCACCTGCCCAGCGCGGCTCCGGCGGCACCTGCTGCTGCTGGTAGGTGCCCTACCAGACCCATCCGCCGCCGCTGCCGCCGCCGTAGGCGTCCGCCCTCTACTGTAGGAGCTGTGCCGCCGACAAGCGTGCATTCAACAAAAGGTTCCAGGATGGGATGATGCTACTCGAAGATGGTTAACCCCATCATGAGGAACCAGATGTTCATGTTGATCCATGTGCACACATCCTGATGCACATCTAATGGTGCACATCAGGGGGGGCACATGCCCTTAGGGGCAAAAAAAATGCTCCCTACTTCGCATTGCTTGTGTTAAATCTTCCTTTTCCACAATCTGTTAGTGATAGTTCGAGCTTACTACTATAATCATATTTTTTATTTTTCAACTGATTTTGGTGGCATCAATTTTATGTCACAAAACATAGTTCTATTGTGACAAAGATTTTATTAGGAAACATATGATCCGATTCGTCTATTATAGGTATTGGCAAATTGACATGAGTTTTTTTAGGGCTTCATATCCTTTCACTATGTCCATTGGAGAGGACATGTTTCCCTGATAATACCACTTCATTAGAGCATCTTCTACGAGATAGGATCCCTGCTTTTCTGTTTAGGCCTGTTAAATTTGGTATTAAAGCCGGCTACAGCTGTTTTGTTGTGAGAGAAAAATACTGTAGATTCTAGCTGATAAGCCGGCTAATAAGTTCAAGCGAACAGGCCCCATCTAGTTTTTTTTTAAGTTCCTATTTTTTGCTGTTGTCTCCAGCAGGACGGCCTAAAAGGCTAAAACAGGCCACCAATTATCTGTGAATGACTTTGAGTCAATTTTTTTAAAAGCTGAAATCAATTATTTAAATCACTGATTTCGTTATTCACTAATAATGTTTACACATATAATTATCACTTTGTTTTGTTCATAAGACTAGATACCATAAAAGTCGTATCAAAACCTTATTGACTGTACCACGTGCAAAACTATTCTGAAACTGAGCATCTTATTTAGGTAAAAAAATCTACTGTAAGACTCTTGTTGTATATTCCTTACCACTTTTCTGCAGTACTGTACCATCATCTTTGCTACTCCCTCCGTTCCATATGTCTATGTCTAGATACATAGCAAAATTGATGTACCAAAAAAATCAAACGACTTATAATTTGGAACCGATGGAGTACTTATTCTATGTGCACTAGTTCCTTGCCAGTTGCATCTATCCTTATATCTCGTTGATTTATGTTTTTAGAACTTTTATTCTTATAAATTGTTCATTGGTCAATAATAAACTTCTCCTTGTGCATAAAAAACACTAATTTTATTTCTAAGAGTAGAGACGGACGAAATAAGAGTCCAGGCGTCCTTTAAGATCCAATAATTCGGCCCGCGAACTAAAACGGACTGGGTTCAGAATAGCCGTCGATACTCGTTCTGGGCCATTAGTCACATATCGAAAGTTTTACCAAAACTGGTCCAACCTATGCATCCGCTGATCCGGGGGCCGTGGTGCGCGCGGCCGCGGCTGACAGCGGGCGACCCTGACCAACCGATATGATGAGAAAACGAAAGAGGAAAGAGAAGCCCACCACGTCCGTGACCGTGGTCTAACCACCGTCTTCCATTCGGGGAGGGAAGCAGGGCCGTCCGTGAGAGGCTCGCCTCCTGACAGCTCGACTGACAAAGCTCCATGGTTGGGCCTGCTAGAGCACGTTCCGTGTCAGCTTACAAGTGTCTGTGGACTAATCGTGGCTCGCTCATTTACTACTGCCAGTCGAATGTATAGAATCCTCGGACAAGCAAGAGATGAGAATTTGACATGAGATGGCAATCCTGCGTCCCTCGGCACACCGTTTGTCTCTGCAAGAACAACTAGCCAGTGTGTCTGTCGTTTCACAAATCACATCCACAGCTTGGTTAGAGTCCCAGCAGTTGAGGCGTGTGCGCATCATCGCGTCCACGGCCGCCACCTCACCTCTCCGCTTGACGCCGATCGGTCGCGTATAAATTCCCCTGCCAGCAGGGCACGCTAGCCACCGGGTCAGTTAATGCCAGCCATGACTTTGGTCCGAAAGGGAACAGCACAGCACAGAGTGTGTGGCGAGTAAAACCCCACCCTCGGACAGCACGGCTCAATCATTGAGCTCGTCAGCTCCCGTTCCTGTCTGGCCTTCCGCCGGGACGCCACGTCGCCACCGCCGTCTGCTTGCTTCCACACATCACGGGCTGGGTCGATCCATCCATCAATCATTCACCGATCATCCATCCCCTCCACACGAACTGCCTGTTCTTGTGGCAATGAGGCAACGATGGACGGATGCAGCCGACGGCGGGGGCGAGTTTTTCTCCCCGTTTGACCAGCAGTGCCGGCCGAGGCGGACAGCACTCGCCGTCCGGCCGTCGCGTCGGCCGCGCGCCGGACACCTGTGCCGTGCCCCGTCGCGCGCATACACGTCGTCGTCGACGCCGTCCCGCGGCGGCGCCCGCCTTGCTTAGCGACGCTAGAAGAAAAAAAACCCCGTCGTTAAATGCGGTCCGATCAGAGAGCGAACGAGCGAGAGATGGACGCTACGGGATAACGGGAGGTAAAGCGAGCCACCACGACGCGGCAGGAGTTCCCCCGGAAAAGCGCTCGCTTGGCTGCATCCGGCGCCGAGCGCGACGCGACGGCGACCGGCATGTGCGACCGCTTCGTCCTTCTCGGCGCCGAAATGGCCCCATCGTCCCTGACGAGTGACAGCGCGGGGCGGCCGTGGGCGGCCGCGCGGACCCAACCGGCCGGCGACACGTACGCGCGCGCGCCGCGGCGGGACCGCGACGCACGGCTGTCGCGCTCGCTCGCCTTGCCTCTGACCGCCGGTTTGACAAACCCTGTTGCCATTGCCACTTTTGCGCGGTGCAGTGCCCATGAGTCAGTCAGTCCATACTGCAGACGAAACGAGATGAGAAAGCAGAAAATGCATGGCTTTTATCTGGGAGGTTTTGCAGCAAATCGTGTCCACGGGGGAGGGAGGACGTACTTCTCGTTCCTCGTCAGGCATGCATGGCGAATTCCTGGTCGTGCCAGCCACGCTGCTATGGTCGTTGGCACGATGGCAGCTAGCCTCAGATGCAGGGCGAGCACAGAACACGTACGTACCCCTACAAGTGGCCTACACTGCCTGATGAACACTCAAAAGTCACAGTTCGACGTCCGCACCAATATTTTACGGAGTGGTTGTTAGGGCGATCGGCGAGGCGATCTCGAACCCGACGTCGATCTAGGCCGCCGCCCCGGCGACCTCGATCTGCTACGCCGCCGGCCAAGTGGCCGTGGTGTCCAAGCCCCGTCTCCACCCTGCAGAGTGGAGCCGGCCAACGCATATCGTCTGGTTAGCCGTCTCAGGCGCCGGCGACGCACCATTGCCGATAGGGTTCTGCCGCTTAGGGTCCTAGTCGGGTTCTGAGATCCGTGGTTGTGCATCTACTTGCGCATCGCACGTCGTTTTTGCCCCCCGGTTGATCGACATGTCCGGATCGGGAGAGGGAGATGTGGAGGGGAAGGGTTCCGGCCCAAACCCTAATGTTGAAGAGTTGCTACGCAAACTCCATCTCACGGAGGAGGAGGAGGCGGTGTTGGACC